GAAACCCTTTCTTTAGCGCACCGTGACCCGTGAGCGATCTCGGATTAAACTGATCTGGATCCTTCCAAAGGAACAAACCCTTAGCCTGGTGTATTTCATCGCCTTCCCGTTAAAGTCAGTGAAATGAAATCAGACCCGTGACACCCTCGTGTTAACTTCAAGAATAAGAGTAATCCTATTTTTCGTTTACCTGGCGAATAAGGAGCTGAAAATGAACATTTCCGGGTGGTAGGTAAACTTTGCGGCAGTGATGCTAACAATGAAGACCTCTTGTAAAACAAATGAGATCTGATCTTCGCCTTGGTCATGGGTTCTCTGAAAAAATCTTCCTCCTTCATTTGCATGAGTCCCATCTGTTACAACAAAGATACAGAGATAACCTTTCAGAGCAAAGGTTTGTCTAGACCAGGTAACAGAGAAGCAAGGGTATTTGTCTTTCAACACGTCGATCTATGAAGGTTAAAGATAAGTTCCCTGGGATACGCTACGACATGAAAACGGTTTGTAAACAAAGGCAACCGGGAGAAATAAACAAAGAAACGTTATCATCGCTTGCCAGCCCGTAATATCCGCTTATAGCAACGTTGGATTGCGAACGAAACCGCAATCTTCCGATGTAATAACAATTTCTAGATATATTCTGTTTCAGCGATGAATGTAAACTGTCCAGGATTTCACTGGTGAACTTGCAATCCACGAGTCTGTGGTTTTTCCTCAAATCAAGCAGGAATTCCTCTCCGAAAGCGCGGAACTTCACTTGCAATCTTTCGCTTCTGACAACATCTTTTAACTCGCTTATCTTTAACGAACCAGTTCTAGAAATGATTTCGGGAACGATGACTTCATATTCTTGTAACCTCCTCGCAAGTTGTTCTGCAGAAAAAATTGATACACTGAATGAGTTCATCAGTCTGCAAATCTCTAGTCACGAAATGATATCGGGGTAAACAAATCCGTGACGATCAAAGAAAATATAATAACAACATGAAACCCACCTTGCTGTCGGTCGCGAAACACTGCTTCTGCTGAAGTGAGCCCCAAACAATACAAGGTAAAAATGCCAAAACGAATGAACAAAGTGAGATCCATGCTTTCATGCCGCACAATCCCCAACAGGACGGAACCTTTCATTTAAATCACGAAATACGCTACCTAAGCCACGCTTAATTGTCTCAGGTCGAGTGAGCTTATTTGTCGGCAACCTCTTCTTTCATCGCCGTGTCTCGGGGTTACATAGACGGGGTATCTCTTGTTTGGGTGAGCACTGTTTATATTCTACTAGCTAGTCTAGACAAAACATGAAAAGAGGCTGAATATGGGGTGCCAACCCAGTCAATATTCCCTCTGTATTTCTGTGACCCAGTCTACTTTTGACATGGTCGACTCGACTTTTTATATGGTCAACTCGACTTTTTATATGGTCAACTTGACTTTTTACATGCTCAACTTTTGACTTTTTGTATGGCCAACTCGACTTTTTATATGATCAACTTGACTTTTTACATGCTCAACTTTTGACTTTTTCTATGTTCAACTCGACTTTTTCTATGGTCAACTTGACTTTGTAATCTCCACAATGCATTGCGTTAGGACTGTAACAAAACGACCGACAATAACGAAGACTTGCAGCATATCTCCTCAGCGTGTGCCATAGCTAAGCAGGCCCTCGAAGCCATCGGCAATCTACGGAATAATGACATTCGAAATGTGGCAGCGTTCACAGCTACCAACATTGCTTCGACTTCCTCTGTTCCATCATCAAGCCCTTCGATTGCAGCAGAGCTCGCTCGTCGATTTCCAACTTACAGCGCACGTGGGGTCACCGCAACTAGAAAACGAACTTCAGCGAGTGCTTTTATGAGTTCCAAGTCACGAGGAAACAAGACTGGGCGTCCCAGTAAGACAATTTTCCACAAAGACCTGGTAATAATTCCAAACCCTAAT